ACTCTGTTCCCTGATCCTGGGAAGAATGAAAGTGCTTTGTATAAGAGCAGGCTGTGGTGAAAACAAACAAAAGCGCCTCCGTCCACCGTCCACCGTGGGAATGCCATTGCATGCAGCCTGTGGCTGGCAGGGGCTGCCTACAGGTTCCTTCACAGAACAGATGATGAAACTGCCTGGAAGCAGTTTGCCAATTGATGATGTCAGCAGTTCTAAGCAAATCCCACTGCTCTGAGCCTCACATGCTAGTGTAAGGGGTAGAAAAGAAGCTCAGACATGTTAGAAACAGAGAAAGGGGAGTGATCCAGGAAGAAAAGAAATCTGCTTGTTTCTTCCATGTCACAATGACAAGAGATGTCCCATCCCTGGGCTAGTCCTATGTAAACTCCTGGTCCTCAGTGGCTATCTCTACCAACAAAGAGGAGAAAGACTAAAATGATTAAGCGTTAACAATTTCCATACACGAATCAGTGTTGTTATTCAGTCAGAGGTTCAATTTCATACTCTGACGCAGGTTGTCTCAGTCAGCTATTGCTGCGGTGATAATGCCGTTTAACAAACAACTGCTCCGATCTCAATGGATTACAACAAACATTTATTTTCCTCTTTCATGGGTGCAGGAGTTGGTTGGACTAGCTCTGCTGGTGGTGGGCTTGTCTGCTCTAGGGCGCCCGGTGCCACTGACATGTTCTTCCTCTGGAGCACAGCTAAATACATGTATCAGATCAGCCTCACGTTCTTCTGCTGATATTGTCTCTCTGCAGTAAGAGTCCAGTGGTCATCTGACTCTGGGCTGTGTAACTGTCCTCAAAGCAAAGAGACAGAATGAGAAATGGAGAGACAGCCTCCAGGCTACGAGGAAGAAAGGAAGAGACACATCCTGCCCCCAAATTCTGTTAAGTGCCCCAAGTCAGATAAACTCTCCAAATTTCCGCCATGAGAAAGCCCCTCCTGTGAGCTCCTAGGGCTTTCCCCCTGTTCCAATAGCTAAAACAGACATAGTTCTTACGTTCCAGGCACTGTGCACAGAGGGGGTAAGGAGCAAGCCCAAGGTTACCCACTCACCAGTTGCAAGGTGGCAGAGCCAGGCTCCTAACCCAGGCTGTCTGTCACCGTGTCTTGTTCCCACTAGGCGATGCAGCCTCCTAGGGCGTAGCGCCACTGGGATGGGAGTCGAAGGTCACAGGGTGCAGCCCTGGTGGCCGCATCGGCATGCCACTTTGCTTCGAGGGAGCCTCTATTTCTCCCTAACTGTCTACTCTGCATTCACTCCCTGATTATTGGAGACTTAAATGAGAAGCTGAAAGTGCAAGCACCCTGTGAATTCTGGGTAACCGGACATGCCAGGTCCAATGATCAGGCCACAGGCCTGTGTGGGGGATCCCGAGGTAGCTTGTAAGCATAGGGTATCAAGAGGAAGGAGCAGAGAGAGGGGCTCTGAACGTGTTGAGCGAGGACAAATAAGCACTTACTCCATGGCTGTGGGCAGCGTCTTCCCTGGGTTAGCCTAATACAAATGTCACTTGGAAGACACATCACCCATCTATTTTTTTGGGGGGGTGGGGGGGAGGTTTTTGCTATAGGGCGTGTGCACTCGCCAGACAGACAGAGAGAGACAGAGATACAGAAAGCGAGAAATCACCCCCCAGGGGGGATGGCCACACCGCAATCCCTTCCCCTCCATTCTCCTCTCGGGATCTTGGGCACGCACGCACATGCGCCCGGTGTGAGTTTTAAGCCACCGGGTCCGGGACTCAAACCGCGGTCGACTACGTGGGAGTCCAGCGACATAGCCATTACGCTAACTGCTGGTCCCCCTCATCTCTTTTATTTTATACCTGCACTTACTTTCTTTCTTTTTTTCTTTTTTTTTTTTTTTTGAGAGAGAGATTTTTGCTATAGGGTGTTCCTGACAAACCCCCCCCCCCCCCCGAGGGGATGGTCATTCCGCAATCCCTCCTCCTTCATTCTCCTGCCAGGATTTTGGGCATGCGCACACACGCGCCCAGTATGGGTCCAGGACTCGAACTGCAAGTGGCCATGTGGGAGTCCAGCACCATAACCACTATGCCACCTGCAGGCCCTTATGCCTGTACTTTCTATAGTACAGGTAAGCAAGTTGATTGCTTTTTCTGGTTTTAAAACCAACATAGACAGAAAATCTGTGA